TTAGAGAACCAACCTGAAATTGGTCTTTGTGTGCACAAGAGACTTCTAAGAAGGCAGGACTCTTCAGGTCCTGGCTTACTTTAACTTCTGACACCTCTTTGTCGTGAGGCAATCTTTGTTTCTTTTTCAGTGCGCTCAATTCTTTCATTGCCATCTCTAACTTTATCCGCAGCTGTCGTCCTTCCTCCCGGGCACTGTTCCTTTCCGCTCGGACCTTGCTCCATTTCTCTCTCCAGTTGGCGGTGCAGTCTGACCACCATCGCATGGTCTTTTCCATCTGAGCAGCTCTGGCCTTGACTTCTTCCAGTTCCCTCAGGCGAAGCTCTTCACTAATGTCCCATCTGTTGGTGTTGTGGGAGTGAGCACAGACATCTTGGGTGGCAAGTGACTGTGACCCATGAAATGGCAGATAGGAGTGGCAGGTCTCCGTGGTGGGTGAGGCAGGCAATAGCATGTCACAAGGAGATTTCAGTGATGATCGCTGCATCTGGAAGGTTTGTGCTTCTGCAATCAATCGATGGATGGAATCTAGATTCATATCTTTTCAGGCCTAAGAGAGACAAGAAACATAGTTACAAGAATAAGACTTCGTTGTCTTTTTTTTTAAAATTGATAAAAACAATGCATCTTTTCTATATTGTGTATTTTCTGGTGTAAACAAAAATTGTAGATGATTTTATGAATTTCTAATTATCCTCAAAGAAACAGAAATTTCTCATATTAAGTTTTGCCTGAAATATAAAGACACTGTTGAGAATAACATATGACATCAATAAATAACCTCAACAAACCTCATTATATTTACATAGTATTTATTAAGGTGCATATTGTCCACTAACAACACAATAGTCCCCTTCTTCTCTGCAAACTAAATCCCAACATGTTCCGGTGGAATGCAGAATCCATTGACCTCTGGGAAGATAAATGCCTAGGGGCTAAATCATCATTGGTCTAAATCTGCCATTATGACCTCAATCTCGTTGACAATTCACTAGCCTCAAGATATGAATGTGACGTTGTTCTGGAAGATGGATGTGAGGGGATGTCTACTGGAAAAGGCTTCCAAGAGAATATGAAAGCCTCAGAATGAGACACTCCTTTCCTCTGTTTCCTTCCCGCTTGGACGATGGCATGATATGGAAGAAGCCAGTGTACCCGCCCTCTGGAAGCAGTTAGGTCGGTGCAACAGACTGGGGAAAAGAGCGACGGAATGATAAGCTGCTGCACCGACCGTGGAGCGCCCACCTCTGCTCCCCTTGCCGTGTGAGACTGATTACCTGTATTTATGTAAGCTGTGGTGGTCCCTGGTGATACACAGTTTAAGCACATGGTTGCAAACCAAAAGGTCAGTGGGTTGAACCTACCCAGAGGCTCGATAGGAGAAAAGTACTGGTAATCTGCTACCGTGAAGATTACAGCCTAGAAAACGGTATGGGGCAGGCCTACTCTGTCACGTGGTGCTGCGGCAAGTCAGAATCCACTCAATGGCACTGAACAACAACAGCTGGTTCTTCTGTTACTTACAGTCAGAAGCAGATGTAAAAGATACATCAATTAATTCAGTTAATATTTCTACAAGCTCTGAAAATTGATTATTATAAGTGGCCCTTTTCCTCGAACATTTTACATCAACTGGATGAGTCAAGCAGGTATAAATTAAAAATGTGTTATTTTTATTATAACAAAAATATTTATGGATTCATTCCATGTTTTTCTAGCATGCGCTATGTGCCAACTTCGTGTTAGGTTCCTTAATGCTCCCAGGAGCACCTCTAAAGGAGTAAGAAATTCAGTCTTCTGGAGATGGGAAAGCCTCACACAGCAGATCCTTGAGCAGAATCATGACAATTGCAAAGTGTTTCAGACAACATTCCCTATAAATAGCAAAAGGCACATCAATTTGTAAATGCAAAGCCTTCTCGCCAATGCATACACTCATTACTTTACTCAATGCAGCATCATAGCCACTCTGAGAATATAGCAAGGGGGATTTCTGCTTCAAAATACTTTAGTTAAAATCTGCAGCTCAATTTACAAATCAATGAAGTCCCACGGTTGTGTAAGATCAACCATTATTGTCTCCGGCTCAGCTTTTCTGGTGTGCGTAATCTAAGGTGACATTGTATGTACATGACATTATTGTCTCTGCCTCTCACTTGTTCACAATTATAGATCATAAACTGCCTGTGCTTGACTAATCTGTTTTATCAACTGAGTTTCTTCATATGAACTAACTTGAAAAATAAGCCTCTATTTATTAAAAAAGAGACTATATAATGTTAAATGCATATCACTTTCAGTTGTGGAAAAATATACATTTTAATAAGTATTCTATGTAGAGGCCAAACCAATACACTCGTTCTAAAAGTTGTTATAATAATGTTGACCCATGGTTGCAAGTACTTTCGTTAGCATTGGTGTATGGCCAATCATATTCGAATTAGTGTTGATTTGGAGTAAATGTCCCTTTATTCTCTGTAATGCAGAGGACAATAATAATAAACTGACCAAATTTTTTGGACCTCCATTAAGCCAAGATAAATACATATGTATATAAATATGTACATATGTATATGTATATAAATATATATATTATGGTTTTAACATAGATTATTAAAAGAACAACAACAAAAAAAAACCTCTTAATTAGAAGCACACTAAAAATTATGTATCTTTTTCCTTTTGGTTGGAATTCGAAAATGAAGGCAGAATTTTCTTTAGCATATTAATGTTAAATTTATCCCTGCCATTTTTCAAAATAAGTAAGTATCATGAAATTGCAATGTTTTAAAAATGTCTCATTAACTTTTATTTCACCAGTATTTTGAAGACTGTATAATTGGATTCTGGTACATCGGGCTCTTCCTACCAACTAATTGAGGATTTTTCCACATTTAATTCAACACAAATGAGTTGGGTTTAATCATTTAGTCCTTGAACTTGAAAGCATTTCCAGTCTAAAGCATTTTCTCAATCGAGGCTGGATGGGGCATTGAATACACATGTGTTTATTGAAGCAGTCCTTTACACATATGTGCATTCTCATGTTTTCTTTCACACAGCTATGAAAGTATTTGCCAATGGTTGGGGAAAAAGGCCTTTGACGTATGCAAAAAATATTTTAATGCCATTGAATGCTTATAAAATCAGACTACCATAATTATTTCAAATACTTTTGAATATAGGATGCAATCACATAAGTAAAATGTGATGGGCCTACAATGTATACACAAAATTGGTGTCACCAAGTTTGGTAACTCCTGGTATCACTCCTCCACCATGGACCTCCTCCCAAACTGGACCATACTTAAGAATGTTTATTATAAATTTAAATCATAGAATAGAACATAATATACATAGATATGAATTGATTAAATGAGATATTTGTTAGATTATATGACTACTAACAACAAAACTTTTTAAAAATCTTTCCACGTTGAATTATATTATTAATTACAACGTAATTGGTAACTGGGCAGAAACCGTTTTTATTTTTCTCCTTTTCCTTTAATGACTACTTCATCCTCAAATAAATTATTGCTATAGGGTCACAAATATTACTTTCCACACTAATGTGCCTAAAACACCAGAAAATTAGACAAAATCAGCAACTATAAAAACACGGCAGCCACGAAAACCACAGCATGTGCTTACAGCACATGTAGACAAATGCGTGTGATTCAGGGAGTCATTATAATTGGGTAATAATGACAGCTCTGACCAGAGTGCATTAGAAGGTTCAAAAGTAAATTAGCACAGAGTTTTACCCTTGTCGATTTATAAGCTTGGTTTATGAAACATAGTTTTGTTGTTATAACTAACTACAGAGATATTTTTATAACAAATAAGAAATTTCTGCTGGAACATTGCACAAAAATATAACAGAGAGTCATTTTGGTGTCACCCCCTCTGACGATGTCACCCTAGGTGATCTGCGTCCTCCAAACCGCCCTAGCGACACCACTGAAAATTGTTAAACATATTGTGTCTTGCCAAAGAGGAGTTAATGTGTAAGACTGTTAAGTGCCAAAGCCACACCCTCCTGGTTCAAGTCCTGAGTCTGCCACTTTCTAGAGAGATGACTTGGACAAATCATGTAAAGTATCTTCGATTCAATATCCTTATAGGTAAAAGGGGACTGAAATAGCAAGTACCTCATAGAACTGTGAGCATCAAATGGGAGAATGACTGCACATTGGTTGTCCTATGCTGTCCCTTAGTCAAGAGGACCGTTTTTCCCAGCAATACAAGTCCTAGTATGTTACTTTGGGTTAACGTACCATTTAATTTTTTTTTATCTTCTTCTCTCTTTTTTTTTTTTTTTTGAATGAGAATTAGTATACTTAAAACCTGGAAGAACATAAGGATAAATGAGATTTATAAAAATGCTTTGAATTTCATGTAGTAAAGGTACAGTCTTCACTTTTATACAGTATTAATATCTTTCAGTAGAAATTCAAACTATAGATTTCAAGTTTCAAAGCAAGCAAGTATAGGAGGTATGGATTTCGTTAATCACAAACTCAGATACTCACAAAATAATTTCTCTATGTTCTTGATGTTGTGTGCCATCAAGTCGGACCCGACTCATAGCAACCCCTTCTTGGGTTGCCAAGGCAGTATCACTACGGAAGTAGATACTAACTTTATTTTCTAAATTGATCCCTGAGAGCCTTGATGACAGACATTTCTCATCTTTTAGTTTGCTACTGAGCTTCTTATAAGGAGCTCTGGTGGTGCTGTGATTAAGGCATTTGGCTACTAACTAGAAGGTCAGTGGTTCAAACCCACCAGCTGCACTGCAGGAGGAAGATGGGGCAATCTACTTCCATAAGGATTTATAGCCTTGAAAACCCAGTGAGGGTCAACTCAATGGCAATGAGTTGTTTTTGTTTTTGTTTAGTCCTTTCTATGGAGCTATGGGGCAGCGCTGGTGGTGTAGTGCCTAAGGCATTTGACTGCTAATCAGAAGACTGGCAGTTCAAACCCACCAACTGCACTGCAGAAGGAAGATGGGGCAATCTACTTCCATAAGGATTTATAGCCTTGAAAACCCAATGAGGGTCAACTCAATGACAGTGAGTTGTTTTTGTTTTTGTTTAGTCCTTTCTATGGAGCTATAGGGGAGCTCTGGTGGTGTAGTGCCTAAGGCATTTGACTGCTAACCAGAAGGCTGGTGGTTCAAACCCACCAGCCACTCCCTGGAAGGAAGGTTGGGCAATCTACTTCCATAGAGATACTGCCTCAGAAACCCAAGGAGGGGTCGCTATGAGTAGGATCCGACTTCACGACAGTGGATGCGTATGGAGCTCTGGTGGGACTGTGGATAAGAAATTGGGCTGTTAACTAAATGGTTGGTAGTTTGAACCCACCAGCTGCTCCACCAGAAAAAGATGAGGCAGTCTGCTTCCACGGGGAATTACAGCCTTGAAAGCACTATGGGGGTTGCTATGAGTTGGAAAGCACTATGGGGGTTGCTATGAGTTGGAGTCGACTTGATGGCAGTGGGTTATTGACCCTTCTTTTCTGTTCAGTACC